TTGCCCCTCAGTAGGTGAAACCCAGCTCAGTTTAAAACTTAGTTGAATAAGTTGCAGAACAAGCAAAGTGAAGGCCATTGTTTTCCCTAGCAGGGAACTGACTTTACGGTATGGCTAAAATTTCCAGAAGCTCACAGTTGTACTGGGTGTGTCCCTGTTAGCGGCTGTAACTTCACTTTGTGCTGCTGTGCAAATTTTGTCTGGCTTCTTTTAAAAGAAACCAAGTTTAAAATGTCAAGCTCCAGTTGGCATGTAAGACAGAAATAGCTCCTAACATAGTAAGCTACCTTACTCAGGGTCCACATTTTATTGCTTTATTGGTAAGAAGGTTTGCTGAAACGGGCCTTAACTGCGCTGCAGTCAAGTCATATTACCTCCTTTCTTTTAAATAGACATTTTACAATGGTCATCAAACCCTTTCACCAGTTTGCCGTTATGTATTTAGGACACACTGGTAAGTTACAGGATTCCCCCTCCTCTGTGGCTAGCAAGAAAGGGTTTTCATTCTGTGCAAACCAGGATGGTTGGTGAACAGATACTTACAAATGAACGGCAAATGCAAAGGGACAATGGTGGAAATCCATATTAAATGGAGTTCTAGCTGGCGCTCAAGCTATAAGGCGTTCTTAAAAAATAGCTCAGGATCTGAAAGCTGACTTTTTGAGAAGTTGGCTAGGTTTCACATGAACGTCCTTTTGCAGGATCCCCCTCCTTGTATTTTGAAGGAGGTTGTGTTGCAGCAGGAAGTTGGGTAGGAAAGAATTTCATGACTCTACTCCCCTGTTTGTTTACACGGTTGTGACGCCTTCTACCCAATCTGGATAGAGACTTAGATGAAGTTCTGCCATCATGTGTTCTCTCTTCCCCTTCAGAACTCTAAGGCTGGATTGGCATGCCCCAATCAGTTCTTTGCGACTGACCAGCGGGCTGGATTCACAAATTGTACTAAGCCAGAATTTAACTGTGTTTTATTGGATAAGCCACAATAGTTGGGCTCACTCAATGAGTTATGCAAAAGCTTAACAAAGGATGGATGGAATAACATGATGTGTGACACAGCAGTCCTTGGTAATGTTGATCAGTCTTAGTTACTGGGTTTTGGTTTGGTCTCAATCTTCTATTGTAGAGGCATAGAGAATGGCCTTGAAGGACAGGAGGAAGAGCCACTATGACCAAGGCAGTGGTCAGCTAAGAGGGTCCTGGGCCTGGGCCAAGTAAGTAACCTGAGAAAACATCACAGACAAGCCCCTCCTTAGTTCCCACAAAGATAAAGAAAGGGAAGGGGAAACACATTCAGATTTGCAAGATTCTGTTACAATAGCTTTTACAGTAAAAATTGTAGTGGCTTGCATGACATTGGTTTCTTAGTCTGGTCTACCTTGTAGGGATGACAGCCATCCTCCAGTGTGAGTTCTCACATCATCTCAAAATATGCTTGTAGGATTTTGTAACTATGGAGGTGGAATATTAACCCCTTTGGGATGATAGTTGCTAGATCCTTCCACACATTCAATCAGATATCCATAAATTGGGGTCTTCCGGATGTGATGTTTGATCTGTAACTCTGATCATCTCCAACCAGCCATTATCTATGCTGTTTGGGCACGACTGGAGTTGTCTACATATATGGACAGCATCTGTTTAGAGAAGGCTGTTCTCCTTCTCTGGTCTGGTGGGCAGGTTGGAAGTTCTGAGAACATTTTGTGGGTCTCTCACAAAAGGGGCTCCTAGCGGTATGTCCAGTTAAAAATCCCCCATTACAGGGGGTGCACAATTCCAGATTATGAGCTGAGACCTCTCTCATTTGTGTTTTCTAGAAGTACTTCTGAGGTACATAGGGTTTTGGGCTCTCAGCAGCTGCTGAAACCAAACGTGACTTTTTGTCAAGCATAATTTTCATAGGCTTTACATCAACCCAACAATGGCTGGGTGATGCTAGAAGATACTATAAGTGACTAGTGGCTGGAAACACCCTCACAGAGACAAGAGACAGAGAGTGTTTGTGTGTGGGTATATTTGTTTTCAAATGCATATACGCTGGCTTCAAAGTGGAATGAGAAGTAGACATATGTCTTTGAGAGGGCAATGCAGGGTTGACTTGTTCATGTTCAGAAGCTAAGCAGATTTGGACTTGGTTAGAAGACTCAGGAAATCCCAGGGCTGTAGGTTGTACTGTACTGGGAAGTGGAAGATAACATCCTGGAACATGGCAATGACTGGTTGTCCACTACAGACGTCCACTTCTGTATTGTTTCCAAGGAAACCATATGTATGTGTCTCTAAAGTCATCAAGAGTTGAGCTTGATGTGAAGGACACCTTTATTCTTTGCTCTACAAGGAGGAATGGTTGCACTCCCCCATAACGATATTGTGCTGAGTCTGTTGTCATAAAGCTGCCACGAAGAATGGCATTTGTACGTTTAGAAGGACCTGCCTGTTATCTTCCTATATGACCGGCCAGAGAGCAGACACCAGCTCATTTTTCAGCATAATTTATAGGATTGTCCTTCATGGTCATGCCTCTTGATTAAGAAATAGAATTGGTTAGGTTACCATGTGCTAGACTTCAGGCGCTGAGTGCTCATTCTGTAGAACGGTCTCTTTTCTACACAGGAGAGGACTGCAGGGGAAAACAAGAAGCTTGAAATGCAAAATTGGAAGTCTGCTATGACTTGCTCCCCGCTTTTGTGGTGAGCAGTTATTAGTGAAATGAATTTATATTCCTGTAGAAGGGAAAGCCAGATCTGAATAGAGTTGTTTGAAATGAGTTTGGCTGGAATGTACAGGAGGGGAAGATATTCTAGTTTTTCCTTTGACTTTTTGTATATAGCTCAATGCTCCCAGCCAGAGATTTCTCGAGAGGAACAGTGTGGAAATATTGGATTTGACTTGCTGTTAACAGCACAAATATTTAGGAACACATTTTTGAAGCTTTGCTCTTGGGTTTTTAACTATTCTCTCAGATAAAAAGTGATAATAACAATTAGAGTCAGCTAAGTGGGGAGGCATTTCAAGTGCCCCCCTTTTATTGGTAGAAATTAAATAAATTAGCAGTGTAGCAATAGTTGCTTTTGAAGATATTCTGTAATTGTCTTAATCCTCTGCAATACAGTCCTTTCATTTAGCCTAATATTTCATTTACTTCTGTATTTTCAGTTTTGTTCTTGTCTGGATTTGAGGTGAACATCTGAGTCTTCAAAATGAAATTAATTTGAGCACTATTCAAACTACATTCAACTTTTCTGGGGCATTAACTATCTATATCTCAAGAAGTTAGGTTGAATGACATGGAGTATGGATGATCTGTGGGCAGGAAATGGAATATGAACTGTAGAATTAAAAAATGTGTGGGTCGGAGTGGACCTTAGAGATGATTTAGTTCAGTCCCTGTTCAGTGAAGAATCCACTACAACAGTATCCTCGATTGATGACCATCCAGTAGAGTCTCTACCTCTTCCTCAGCCAGTCTCTTCTCAATTGGCTAGGATCAGATCTAGGAGACCCCATCCCCTTGTATCTTCCTCAGCCTTCTGGAAGACCACTGAGGGATTCTGGGGATCTTGCAATCTTGGCTGAGTTGCTTTTCTAACAGATGCAGTATCTGGGTGGTTGAAGTCTCCCCTTATTTCTATATCTCTCTCCTCCCTGAAAATTCTGCAATCTAGTCCTGGGAGACATTATCCAGATCTTTTATTTGGCTTGGTGGTCTGTAGCACAGGATGATGTTCACGATGCTTGTAATAAAGAAACTCTTTCCTTTTTCTCACTTGTGCTCAAATCTGTTATTCGTGCTACAAAAACATACTTTTAGACTAGGTTCACCCAACCCACTAACGCACTGTTTTCAAACTTGGCAATTTTAAGGTGTGCTGGCTGGGGAATTCTGGGAGTTGAAGTCCACACATTTTAAAGTTGCTAAGTTTGAAAGACACTGCACTAAACCATAAAGTGATTTCTTTAGGTTTTGACTCAGCAGGTGGTCTGAACCCTACCATTGTGGCTTGTAAACTCTGGTTTGTGGTTGAGTGTTGCATATGAATCTGACTATACAAACATTGTAGCCTGACTTTCCAAATTATGTTGTCTCTGGCTGGTCTGTTCTAGGATGGGTGTGAATCCTGTTTTATAGAGACCAGTCTTCTCTTTGCAAGGGCCATTGAGTCCAAATCTGGCTTAGAGGAAGAAAGTTCAAGAACAGAATCCAGGAGCTTTGAACTCAGTGAATAGCAAGCACCAAGATAGCAACAGTTACTCAGTTGTTATACTGAGATGTATCTAAATGTCAGAAGTTTAGCACAGCATTTGAATCTCGTCCCAGATTTACAACATGAATATAAATGAGCACACACACATTTTATAGAATTGGGGTAGCGTTTTATCCTCCATTTTAGAAGAACTTTTCTTTTTGAGGGAGGGGAGAATCGGTCTATATTTGACCACCCAAATCTCCCTGGGGGTGAGTAATTCTGTTAACCTCTCTATATGAATGGGGATTGGCTGTTCCAATCCCAGCTGTGCATTTTGTGATGAATGATCAGTCAGAGGAGTAGCTAAATCCATTGAATTAATGGCTCTACTCCTTGGAGAAGAACTCTTTTGGCTTCAAGAAGTCTATATTTTATTGGCCTTGCCAATGTTCTGATCCCCAGTGCCTGAGATTTATTGGAGGGTGGGGTTTTTTTGGAGGTGCCTTTGAGTCAGGGATGTCTCCTGGTGACTGCCCGGACAAGTCCCTGCAGTTTTCTTGGCAAGAGTTTTGGAAATGGTTGGCCCTTGCTTTCTTCTTCCCAGGGCTGAGAGGGAGGGACTGGCCCCAGGTCACCCAACTGGCTTCGTGCCTAAGGCAGGACTAGAACTCACAGTCTCCCGGTTTCTGGCCTGGTGCCTTAATCATTACCCCAAACTGGCTCTCTTTTTTTGGAGCACAGAGTTGTAATCCAGGAATGCTTTCAGTGATCTTTCTCTTTGCAAATAAGTTAACTCTGTCCTTTCTCCAGCAGATCCAGACAGTCAGCTTTGCCCAATGGGGTACAGTCCCGATGAGCCGCCTCCTACGTGCGCTGATGAATTTGATGACTTCGTTGCATACGAGGTGAGTGGGAACATACCCAGCCCATGGCTTTGGGTTGCTTTTGTTGGCTTAAGTCTGTCTCATTTTGCTATTTCAGAGAATGTGAATGATGCTCTAAGAAGGACCTTAGCTTTGGTAGCTCCTCTAGAATTTCCATAACACAGTTGTCTTCCTTGGTGCAAGAAGATCTCTCTTTCCGCCTTCACTTCTGATAGCAATGCTGTGTTCTTCTGCCTGGAATGCAATGGCAAACCATGAATAGTGGTTGGAACAAATTTACCTAGGCATTATGGCCCATCGGTGTAATATCTGCCACCCTGATGGAGTACACGACACGTTCTCCAAATTGCCCATTTGACCCTATGAAGTATTACATTCTCCTTGGAACTTGATTTCTGATGACTTCCCAGGCACATTTATGGAATTATTTTTGGCAACAATATAGGAATGGTGTGACCTTCCTTTCTGATATTTTTTTCAACGTCCCTGCTCAGTCTACAACTCTGATATTTCCTAGGGGTCTGCCATCCAAGTATGAAAGAGGTCCAACCTGGGTTAGCTTTTGAGATCGGACAGAGTTAGAAGGTGCTATCACACTGCCCGATCTTCTCTTTTCTTTCAAATGCTTTCTCTCCCCCCAGACTACTTTGGGCAGTTGCTGCTTTCATGCATGGCTGAGTGTGACGTGTTTCAAAGTTGTGTTCCTCTCGGTTTTAACTGTGGGCCACTGCGGGGTTGGCTCGGGCTGATGTTTTAGGGAGTGAAATCACCCTGTAGAATGAGCTTCTGAAATTGACTATCCATTGCTGGGGCAAGATGGGATGGTGAAATTGATTAGAGAATGGACAAAGGAGAAGGGAATGTTGGAAGAGACAAAGCTACTTCTGATCTCTGCTTGGTGGGGTTGATGATCAGGAAGGGAAGGATCGCTTGAATTCTGCTCAGAGGCAGAAAGTTGGATTTAAGAACTGATCGGGGGAAGCCTATAACTATTATGCGTTCTTTGGGGTTGCCTTCTACTAAGTAGAAATTGCATTTTGGAAAGGTATCACCACCGCTACACCCCTTCCTACACAGGCTCCAGAACCGCTCTTGCCTTGAGCTCATGAACTGCTAGTCTTCTTTTTTCACAACCTGATTTGTTCCTTCATTTCTAGTTTTGTGGCAGAAACTAGCCAGGACAAAGCCAGATTTGAAAGCAACAATTTGCTTCCTTTTCTAACCAGGTCTGAAGTATAACTGGAAGAAAAGATAAATGTATATTCCCAAAGCCTATAGAGATATAAAAAGGCGCTTTACGTTGATCAGAGACGGTTAATTTTAGACTTCCAACTGGGATCTGCGGGTAGAGATTGTCCTTAAGATTCAGAGTCATCCTTTTCCTTGTCTTTTTTTCTTGTTGTATTGTTCTTGTATTGTTCTTTTTATGTTTGTTTTAGTTGTTTGTAAGCCACCCAGAGTCATATGGGCAGATACATAAATTTAAATGATAAATAATCAGTCAATCAATCCTCAGGCTGAAGCGCTATTAAAA